TAGAGAGTGGGGCACCAAAACCCGGGGTACCCGCTTTTTTCCTGTCCTCCCCTCCTCTCCTCTTCCACTCGGTTCCCTGTATCCTCACGCCACTGTTTCGTTTACCTTGTTTTTTTGTTGTTTGATGCGCCAGTTTATTTCAGTTCACAGATTTTTTTTCTTTGTAATTTCGCGCTTCTAATGTTTAAATGGTTCGTTTTGGAACGGATCATTGCTCGTTTCCGAATTTGTTTGTATTTATTTTCATCTCATCAAAAGAGGCCATATAATTTGTTCGCTTGGCTTGCTTGCTAATTCTTCTATTATTCATTTTTAAAAAATCGAAATAACTGTGTCTCCTTCGTGCCTCATTTTGTGCCCCACTCTCTTTGTCTCATTCCCCTTCTAGTTGTTGCTTTAAAACGGGAGTTTTTTTTTAATCCAGCAGCGGTCTGCAAAATTTTACCTAAATTCGGTTCTAGCTTGAACCGATTGCTGAATTAACGTAAGGTCAGTTCTTCAGATAAATTTTACGGCTTATATAAATTTTTACACGTTCGAATGCTTGTTTTCTTTAAAAGTGGCCTGAAAATTTGTAGGAATTTGCTTCACAATCTAGCCGTATACCGAAGCTAATGCAAGCCCTAGAAATCACCCGATCCCGAATACCACTTGATTCTTAGCTTTTGATTATGTAAGGGCTATTTCTTCCTTGTAATTGCTCAAATTGCATTTGTTTTGGTGTCTGGTGATTAGAAATGTTTAGACTGTTTCCAGGAGTTTTTTGAATTTTTGGGATTTATAATTTTAGAAAAAATTTGTCTGTCGAAGCCTTTCCTTCACTGGCCCGTGGATGTTTAGGAGTTTTTTTTGCATCGATTTAGCATATACCGATTCCTCTAACTCGCAAGCCAATTTTGGTAACGTTGGAGCTAGTTTTTGACAAGCTGCATGTGAATTTTACCAGACTTGTTCCAAATCCTGCAGTTGCTAGCCTACTTTCAGCAGTGGACAGGCAGTTTCGATACTACACAGGCCATTTTGACAGTCCAGTAGGCAGTTTTGATGACCTGCATTACATCACGGAATTTTAGCAACCCAGCACCACTGCCACGGTTAATTGCGCTTTCAAGCTGATCAAAATTTGATGATTAACCATCTCATATCAGCACCTTCTTGCTCGTTTTAGACATCAGTAGCCTTTTATAGCGTTTGTAGGCAATATATGAAGTAGAGTGGCAGCAAAATGAACAGTTTTAGAAATTCTAGGAAGGCCAGTTTACAACGGGCTTGGATTTTACGCCTAATAAGAGAAGTCAGTGAAGTTGGGAAGGGGACAGGGTGTGGGGAGGGGGATCATATTATATCTTTTATGAAGTGAGTCTTCTAAAACAAAAGGAAAGAAGCTGGTTCAATGATATGCATTCTGGTGCAAATGGAAGTGAAGTCTCTTGTAGACAAGACCAATCGAAATACGATCGATGTAATCGTCGTCATCATCTCCTCGTTATCGATGGTTATTGGGAGAGGAAAAAAGGAGTTTGGGGGAGGAATCACTCATTTGGGCAGTTTTTTGTGAAATCTGTTTAATCCGGTGATTTGTATTTTGGACTTACCACAGTTACTACTGCTTCTACTTTATCACTCACTCACTGCCTTCAGTTTATATTTTTTTTT